TAGGAATTTAAAAAATCATTGTATTTACCATTTTGCACCCAATAATTGCATCTGTGTAGCTGGCGAAACTGATCCATGGCCCAAAGATAATGGTTCCCGCAAAGCAGAGGTATCCCATGAACTCCAGCGGTGAGGGAAAAGAGGACACAGCGCCTCGATCGAGGTCAAAGGCCAGAGAGATGGCCTTCATGGCCACCACCATCTGAGATCCTGGACACAAACGAAACGGTCCGTATGGGAAATGCGACACCATAATGAGTGTCATTTGATGAAAATTATGTGACATGAAAAAAAAAACTTCAATAAAACATTCCAATTAATAATAATTCAGTGAAGACACACCTCTCATCTTATGCCAGGTCGCTGCGTCTATCATGTGTAGCTCCCTACAATAAAAATGATCAAAATATGTGGCCACTTGTGATTGTGAGTTTTTCCAATTTGAACCAATTTTCTGTGTTCATTAGGCCCTATCTATAAAATGCAATCGTGTGGAAGTGAATGACAGACCCCATCAGCATGTAAATAAGGATGACGACAGAAAGGAAGACTCCTCGGCTGCTGGAGTTTATGCTGAGGAGCAGGATGAGGTAGCAAAGCAGGCACAGGATAATCACCCACATCATGTGCAGCTCAAAGAATGTGTACAACACGTACAGGCCGCCCGCCAGTGAGCTCAGATGCTTCACATGACATGAGACACCTGTCAAAAAGAGAGACAGCATTAGCTTGCCGCATCAAGACTCAACAGATGGACCCATACAGCAACATGAGTTGGATATAACAAGATCAAGTGTGAAGATTTTCGGTACAATACACATAGCTGTGAAACAGATGACAAAAAGCATTGATGTTAGCCATAAGAGAATCAACTGCGCCATGTTCCCATCCTTTGGGGGAAGACAGTTGAGCAGGTGTTTGAGGGCTGGTGTTGTGCATGATGGACTCACCTAGTCTACAGATGACCCGACACAGCAGGCAGACGAGCAGAAGCTGCCAGACCTGCTCTAAACCCTGCTGGGCAGTGGGCAGCACACAGCCCTCTGCTAGAGCCTGCAAGAACTCCACACGCCCGAAGGAATCCATCGTTATGTCCCTGGAAAGCTGTTACACACAGACAGGGTCTAGAGAGGAAAAACAGAGTATTATTTTATTGTATGATTATTGGATAAACAGTGCTAATGTGAGACTATTTCTGGCCAGTTGATGGAAATGTCACTGGAGCTAATCTGCCAGTGCTGCATTATCACAAAATCTTATATTTGTTGACCTTGAACATCTGTTTTTATGCCTTGCAAAGAATACATAAGGTTGCAAATGTGCGGATTTAAATATGTCAACAATGTAACGTCATCTAGCTTATCTATTAGTGAAGTTCTGCATTATTATCATTGTTTGATATGAATGTTATGAATTTATACCTGTCATGAGTTTTTATGAGCTTATATATATATAAAACCATCATTAGAATAATCTTTGAAGGAATAAATTATATATTGAAATATATTAAAATAGACAACAGTATTTTAAATTGTAATAATATTTCACAATATTAGTGTTGTTTGATCAAGTAATATATGCAGCCTCTGTGTGCATTAGATACTTCTTTCAAAAACATTGAAAAATCTTAAGTTCTGGTACACACATAAATGTTTAGCAAAAAATAAGATTTATCAACTTTTGTGGTAGGACCAGTAAAAATGTTGGCATAGGTTTGAACGGGTTAAAAATTATAAACCAGTCACCAATATTTAGATTTTTCAGCAAAATTGTGTTTATGAATATATATGTAATATAATTAATTAATATTAATTATG